CCCCGCCTATTTGCCACTTTTTCCTCCGAAACAGCCGTCCCGTCGAGCGGGTAGGGGGGGGTTACTCACACTACTTCCGTAGAACTTTCACCAAATCCTTCAAAAAACCCGTTTGAATGGCAACCCTTTCAACCTCCGTTCCCACTATGATAACCTTGCTCAACCCCAAAATGCGACCCCCTTCCCGAAATCACAAATGCGACCCCCTCGTTCGAATAGTGCGAACGGACGGTTGACCCTGCTACCAAGCTTTCCATCACTCCGGTGTTGATCAGTTGGTTCCAGAATGTCTGCAGGGTAAAGACCCTCACTGGCTTTGATCACTTGGCTAGTTATTTAATTGTATTGAGCGTCTTACATTCAACAACCACCACGATTCTGAATGGAAATCTATTGCATGTCCAATCCTAAAATGGGATTGTTAACACCGAGCCTTGTCCTATTTTTATACGCCTTAGATAAGTTCAGAAAGATTTAGAAGAATCCCACTCAAAATTTCCGAATTTCATTGTGTGTGTGGATTCTTCTTCTCATCGTTACTGTTTAAATCGATGAGTTCATCGGAAGCTTAAGGTCAACCATGGTTGACATGCTATCTCGCCCTTATCAGTCAGTGATAGTCAGTTTTATTGAAGTTGTCAACGAAAAAGTCATTTATAAGAGGTAGTTCATTGTGTGACCACTTTATTTGAGATAAGCCCATCCCGGGAGGGGAGGAATACTTGAAAGTTTTTATTTTTACTCGTTCATTGTTTTTATTTGCGTCCGTGAGCCCTCCTGCAATGTTATTCTAGATTTTTCTAGGTCCAGGACTTCCACCGGCTTTAAGCTTATCAAGAAAGACATTTGTGTTTTCGTTTATCTATAAGTATACTTTAAGAAAGGGTCAAGCCGCACCCGTTGGTTCTGTCGTTGAAGTTATTACCCTTTTGCTGACTATATAAAAATTAGAAAAAAAATCCAAATGATGGTTAACACATTGCGTACCACGTGCGCCACATGGCGGCGCACGGCATTCCTGCTCTGTGTGGCCGCGTGCGCCACATGGTGGCGCACGATTTCTGAATTGCTTTTTCCCACAACTGTGGCCCTTTTTTGTTCCATATTTGCGCAGATATATGTTTTCGCACCTGGACAACAACATATTCGAGTGGGACTTCTCCAGGCATTTAGCTAATGTTTGTACATTGTATTCTAATAAGAGCCTAGATAGCTGATCTAATTTGCTTGACTAAGACACATCCTTTTCAGCAAGTTCAGCAATTACCGCAATCTAGATGAAATACAACTGAATCGCAATAATGTTTTCCAAGCGCAGCCTTCAAGTGAATGAGATGATTTGCAGTAAAACATTATCGTGAAGGTTTTGGAGCGCTTTTTCCAGCTTGTGCGTCTTTCGGCGGTTAGTTTTCGCAGTCATTTGATAAACGTTATTGAAATAACCTTTATTTGAAATTCTACTCATGTTTGCCTTACCGTGGTATCAAAATCGGTGATGAATGTATGGCAAACTATGGGTGTAATATACTCACTTCCCTGAAAAGACCGGTTAAGGGTGAAATGCGTCTTTAAATATTCTGTAATCTGTATAATCGCCACTGCTCTTCAATTAACAGGCTTAAGCAGACTGTGGGGTAATGGGACTAAATTGTTTGCCATCGCTATCTATCACCAGAAGTTGGTCAAAGTAGATTTTCGGATCCTTCTCTATCGCTGTTGTGTAATCATTCGTTAACTATTTGGAATGTTCATGATAAGCCAAATAGGCAAAAAATATGACACAGACCCATAAATTTGTGACTTAACATGACAATAAAAACATAAAGTGAAAAAGCACCTTTTGAAAAGAATTTTGAAAAAATGTCTGACCCGTGTGGCCGCATGCGCCACCATGTGGCGCACGATGCGCAGTGCACGGCGGCCATGCGTGCTCGCCAGCGCAAAAACGGCTTGGTACGCAATGTGTTTAATCGTCTGAGAGAAAGTGACACGGCTCGTGGTTCTTATTTGCGGTAATCGCCACAACAATGAACAATCGCCACTGCAATCTCATCAATCAAAGATCAAGGACGTTGCTGCACATGGCAGGGTACCAAAGATCACAGCGTGCGCTGACGCCGGGCTACGATTATCATGATAATGGTTGCGCAAACTGGATCCCCTGAGCAGTCAAACCGACCGCTAACTTCCATGTCAAAAGTATTCGGGCAAAAGAGAGCCCTAAGTGAAAAACTGACTTAAATAATTATGGCCTAGGAAAAAAAATTGGCCTGCTCTCAACGATCGGCGTCGGACAACCTTTAGACAGTGCCTCCTAATATTTAATTTAAGTTACTCTCTCATTCGAAAACAAGAAAGCGTCGGGTTCCAACGCAACGACACTGCACTACAAGTGACGACGGCCTCCAAGTAAATCTGGTTAGTAGTGGTTCATAGTGATAGCTGATTTTTGGTAAATGATAGTTGTAATTAGTGACAACTGATAGAATACAACTGCAACAGGCTAATCATTTCATTGGCAGAAAACATTTACATTTTGTGGAGGCCGTCGTCACTTGTGGTGTATGGTCTGCACCCGACGCTTTCTCTCGTTTTTTGAAAGGGAGTAACTTCGAAGAGAAGTCGTAAGAATTGCCGAAGAGCGAAGTGCTAAGATTCGTACTCTGAAAACGTTCAAAGCTCGAGAGGCAACAATAGATTTTCCCGCATGCGTGAGGAATGGTGCTAAATAAATAGTACCCAACAGGAGACCCGACTCGGTGCACGCAAAAACAAAGTCAGCGGATTAGGTCGGACAAGGTCACCGTACTGATTTCGCGTCTAGTTCAATAAAATTTACCATTGTGCGTCCCTTATCGCACATCACGCGCTGCGACTCGTTCGCCAACTCTGCCTTTTTACCGCGCGACGGGCCTCCTGTCGGGTGCCCCAATTGCATTGAGAGGGGGGGGGGTAAGCAACCAGCCCGTTGGCGTATTCTGCTGCCGTATTCTGAAGTGTTGGAGACGGATGAGACCCGCGGACGTCGACCGAACTACTTTCAATCGGTCCTTAGAAAACCGCCATCACACCGTTGAATAGCCTTCACCTCAGGTGTATAAGGCTACACCAGACGCTCTCTCGCAGGTCCGCCCTCTCTCCAAGACTTAGTCCTGGTGTAAGCAAAACAGCCCCTTTGCCGGAGTCCTAGCTGCACCACTTCGTCATCGATCTCCTACCGTACCGACCGAGTTCAAGCAGTCTCGTCGACTCGGCGACCGCCATGCCCTTCCCCAACATTCAGCATACGCCCCAGCAGAAACGCCAAAAGGGCTGGTTTGCTTACCTCCAGTGGGGGGGGGACGGTCTGCGTGTCGCAGTGACCCGACATGTTTCGCGTCCTTCATGGTCAACGAAAGTCGCCTCGTGCATTCCTGCTTGCACACGCATCCCCAATCCCCTGAGGAGCATTAACGCTCACCACCTAGACTCACAGATTCGCTCCATGCCCTACCCCTCGGGCCCTCCCTTCGAACCTAACTATGTTACCAAAGCAACGTATAATCTGCTGTTGCTTTTCGAAATTCCATAGATAACTCCTCATTGGGCTTAAGTCAGCTACTAAAAAAGCATAGCGATTTAGGTGACATTATCGATGCATGAAAAGACAAGTGTGACGGGTGTGTTGGTGGCAATGAAAGGCGACGGCAGTCACTTCCTCGTTGATCAACTCAAAACGCCTATTGGAATCATGGACAGCGCTGTGCTGAGGTTGGTTGATTGCCCTTTTTATTAGTCATGAAATCACGTTTCAATGAAACCTCAACACTGATTTTAACCTCGGGCTCGCTAGCGATTGGTTACGCTCTCCCCTTCCCGCTTCTTCCTCCATTCTCCTCCAATCACGATGACGTCTAGCTCAGTTTGAATGAAGTCAGATCTGAATTGTATAATGATCAAAATTAAGGCGGCTTTTCTATTTTTAGACTTCATTTTCTTCAGTATAGTTAACAGTTGACTAACATATGGGCCATCGTTATGAACATAATACTGCCATCTGTCAGTTGAACTGCAGTTCACCTGCCAGATGGTGCTTGAGCGAAAATACTGAAGCCTTCAAGTGAGAAACTTCCTGTAGCGGTCTGGACTGTTGAACTTTCTATGTTGAATATGGTCATTCGCGGCAGTAATTCTTGTTCTCGTTCGGGTTCAAGCACTGTCACGAAGAAGTGTATACTTGGTTTTCCTCAAGGCCCTGATTACTTTTATGAAAGAGATTGTAGATGAATTTTCGACAACCCGTCTGCCGGCTGGCTGAGACGAGTGGTGCCGGGGGAAGGGGATATTGAAGGGCAGGAGCAGTCGTATTTTGTAATTTCGGGAGGAGGAGTCGTAGTTTGCGGGCTGGAGTCGTATTGCTTGATGACAGTAGAGGTAGGGGGTTTTTCGGAAAGTCGAACTTTTTCACGAATCTAAAGAAGCCTTGAAAATTTTAGAGAAATTTCGTCGTTGAACGGTGATATATTATATTTCCCCGTCCCCATTCCTTCTACCGATGCAGTTTTGGTATCTCTGAAATCGCCTGCACCCAACAGTGACGCTGGTTGGAATAACTCAAAATCCAGTTCGTGCAATTTCTTCAGAGCGTAATTATGTATAGTCGACTTGTATTATGATAAGATCATGTGGTTTCGTATCAATGCGATTCCCGAAACGTTCAGTAAGGTATTAATGGCGTTCTAAACCTACTGAACCTTAAAACGCTGCATTGTAACAGTTAAAGAGTAGCGGTACGATAAGTTCATGAATGGGCTTTTAGATGTATTTTTTATGTGTTCAATGGTACCCTAGCAGCAAAAAGCAGAAAAAATCCGTCAAGAAAACACAAAACGGGACCCTCTTTTTTGGCCATTGGTTTCAACATGAACAGGTAACAGCTAAGAAAGAGGACGTATGAACGAGTTCACCGCAACGAATTTGATGGAACCATGCCAAAGTACGCTTTAATCGAGATACTCCATTTGCGCCGCTGCTGGTCACGCAGCTCGTCCAAATCAACAAGTCAACTTGTGGGCGTAACGCTGCTGGGGGCGGAGTGCTGCGGAGGTCCTGCTCAGCAACCACAGCACCTTTCGCCCCTTGGAGAAGCGCCACACATCGCTCTCTTGGCAGCCAAGCAATGCTCCGTGTGGTGCAGGTTCTCTCCCGATGCGAAAAAATTTCCTTATCGCTTCCTTCAAAAGGACAGTCAGTTTCAAGCTGCGTTGAAGTACCCGTTCACATGGCCTCGGTTTCGCCTATTAAAACACAGCTATTCAGATTTTTCTGTCCAGTGCCACTTTACTCTCTATTGGTGCAGCCTCTAACCATATTACTTGGATTCATTAGCAAGTCTTTCCACACTTCAAGGATGCGTCTTTGAGAATGTGTCTGAATGTATTAAAATCACCGGAAGGACCTTCCACTAAAGATCGCATTACGGCGATAAGGCGCTATCAGAGAGCCAAGCGAAACGCGGGAGACGGTGTTAGCAGGCTGTTCAGAGATGTCCGCTTGCGCGAAAAAACGCATAGGCGAAATAAAATGAAATATGTATCGACTGAGCGAAGACGCACAGGAGAATCGTGAAGTGGGAGGATCGACGAAAATGAGTATCATACGCATCGACTTACGAACGCTTCGCTCACGCGATTTTCCGCCCGTGCGTTCCTCACGATCGATACATATCAAACTCTCGACTGAAATTCGCCTACTCCGGGCAGTTCGCTTTACGCGCTCCCCAATTTCCCAATCGATTATTATCTGAATCTTAGCGGAGATTTTCGTTTCATTTCGCCTCTGCGTTTGTTGCTTCGTGTAAGCGGGCACAATCTTCCTGAAACAGAAGCCTGAGATCCTCCAAATCACGTCGTCTGACGTCGTACCTCAGATTCTTGAAAAACCAGGTCACGTCGAGTGCAGGATCCCACACCACAAACCTACGCATGTAAACTCCAGTTATCAGATTTAATGGAAGTCCGTTCATCTATTGTGATTGTTTATGTGTCTGCATCGCGCGAGCATTGATTTCTTGGAGAAGAAGGATATACCCTCGCCTTCGAAATTGACGCAGAAATTGGCATTGCAGAAATTGACGTGGACATTAAAGGAATCTTCCGCGGAAAAGCTCCGCCTCCATTACCACAGAAAAACGATACCCTTAGGCCCCTAGCCTCATGAGCATAGCAAAAAGAACGGAACATAAGCGTTAGTTTCGATAATACTAATCCTACACAAAGACAAAATGATCACTCTTTCCGTGGTCGTATAGGTGTACGTTACTGTGTCATTGAGGGCTGAGCTCCTTCCGTGAAGAAATTCCTCTAACGTGAAACACATTTCAATAACAATCTTGTAGCACCACGATCACTTTCATCGAGATATTTTAATCCGCGTCCGCAGTGCCACGTCAATTCTGCAATATTCACAAAACTTTTCCTGGTTCATTGTTCAAAGCAGGGGAGCTATGTGGGTTCCTAGAGCCTTTGCCATGCACCTCCCGGTCGCAAATTCGGCCACAGCTTCTAATATATACACTGAAGAGATTTTTCTACTAATTAATCGTGGAATGTGCTTTTAACAGTCGACGTGGGCGGTTTGTTAGATGTAATACCAGGTGTTTAATGAGCTCATGGTCACGTAGAAACGAACATAAAAGTGGTGTTCATTAACTCTTCCGGACAACCAACAATCGAACTAGCACCGCGATTCAGGAAGTGTTTCCAGGGTTCTGTTGAACGAAGTGTTTATCGTCAGCTCTTAGCTTCTTCTATCTTGTTTTGAAGCTATGGAATTTTGAGTCATTTTCAGAACAGCCGACACCATCATGATGACAATGGACTGGGATGATGTGAATCGACATAAGTGACGTATCGGCTCTTGATCTCAAATAAATAATGAAATTCTTAACTTTATGTGTTCAATATTTGAAGACATACTCTTGTAAATGCTATAAGAATGTTTTGGAGGTACGGCACGAGGCGAACAGCTTAGATATGAAACATTGAGCAAAGAAGCCTGAAATCATCGTCAGAACACTTAGGTATAAACAAAATGACAGAGTGACACGAGTGGATGAAGCACTGATAAGAAGTTGGTACTGAATATCGATTGCTGCCTCTGAATCCAGCAACGAAACCTCTGGCGGCAGCCGATACCGGAAGGCAACACCAGGCCTGATTTTCCAATCACTCCATTGGCCTGCAATTATGGGTAAGCTGTAGTTACCTCAAGAACGCTGGGTTATAGGCGAAACTCTTCGCCCCTGGCTAGAATCGAACCTGCATCTTTCGTTTCATTAGCAGTTAAGCAACCGATTACCACACCAAGGCATCTGTTCAACTTATCATAAAAAGTGAAAGGATAAAGCATTTGCCGTTGATCAATCCCTTTTTGGGATGCGGCACGCATTCTACTTCCATTTGTACATTCGCAGTGGCTTTTGA